GTCAAGCCGAGCGCCGGGGTCAGGTGGCCCCCGGCCGGTGGCCCGCGCCTCCTGCTTCCCTGGTCTCTCGGGCTCTGCGTCGTGTCTCCGGCAGACCGCCTTCCCGATTGTTGTTCTCCTGCGGCTGGAGATCCAGCCGAGCTCTGGGGCCTCAGCAGATGTGAGGAGGTAGCGGGTTAGAATAAACCCTCGCAAGTCGGAATGCAGCGCTGGGGCCCAGTGTCAGTTTGGGGTCTGCATTTATTGAGCTTCTAGTGTATAGAGACGGGGCTCACGGAAAGGAGCGCAGCAGGCTGAGCTGAGGCAAAGTCTGCTCCGTAGGAGTTTTTGCGTCCCTGAGCCACCGAGCAACTTACCCGAGATCCCCACAACCTCTGTGGATGCTAGAGACGGTTACCATCCTAGGGTGGCCTGATGCCAAAGGCCCAGGGACAGTCTTTGTTGAAAGCCTCTAGCAAACGCTTGTTCCCTTAGATCTTTCTCTCTATGATGGACGGTCTCGCTTGGTTCTTCAATTCTTGTATTCCCAGAACACAAACTGGTAAAAATAAATTCTAAAGAGGTTTTTGATGAGAGGAGAGGTTTCTTCCTCTTTTCATCTTAAAGTAACAAACTACAAGAAGAAATACACCCTGCATGTCTTCTCAAATAAAGACTCAGAAACCAGGGTCAGTTACTCAGTGAACAGCTAAAACAGCACTGGGTAAACAGTAGACAGTTGCCAAAGATCGGTCATGTTCTGGGTGGTCTCTTAGAGTCTGAAGGCATTAATTCTTACTGCACAAAATAGTTTTACAATCAGTTCCACCAGGCAGCCCCAGGGGCCTTCCTAGAGAGAGGAGCCAACAAGCAAGGCTGCCCAGGGAAAAGACAGGCAAGGGGCCAGTGGAAAACATTTTTTTTTTCCCCTAACAGTTGGGCATTTCTGTGACTCTGAAAGTAAGCTTGTTTGCTTCATCTCAACAATGGGGAGAAAATCCTATTTTGGAAATGTCACCCAGCATAAAAATATATTTCCATTGGTGTGGGGGGGCCAATTAAGGTCCACCCAGAAGAAAATATTTTTCTCCTGCATTTTTTAAGGTTGATGTTTCCCAGTATGGGTTTACCATATTCTACAAATGTCTATGTCAAAAGTTGTATGTAATATAATTGGAATATTTAAATTTGAGTCAGATCCTACCTAAGAAACTGACCAAAGAATTCTATAGAGAGCCGTTTTATTCAGCAAATAAATAATCTCCCCTTCCCTAACTCCTTTCCTGTTTGTGTTGGGTGGGGAGAGTATTAGAGGGTGAATCTGGTTTGGCTTAAAAATCAAGTATCATGAAAATTGTCTTTCCAGATCCTAAACAGAGATCTCAGGAGCCCGATATTCTATAGACCTTACCTCCTCCCGAAGTTGTGGGGGTAGTTGCGTAGATCAGCTGTGAATCAGATGCAGGACAAAGTTTCACTGTTACTAAAGTTCCGCCATTTCTCCCAGACTGCCTTTGAAGGACTGCAGGTAAGGATAAAGCCATTTCATCTTTCTCTGGGGTAGGCAGGCGGTGGTGGTGGCAGTGTCCTATGAAAAGCATTTAGTGTTCTTTCACAGCAAGTGACTTTCAAGCGGAGACCTGATGCTCTTGGGGGCATTCTGGTTGTATACGGGAGGATAAAGCCATCTCTTGCTATCAGTCCTGACAGAGGTGCAAATCTGTATTCTGAGTGTTTCTTCACTCCCTGGGCACTTACTAAGAACCTCCCGACTGTGTATGTAAGGCTGTATTCCAACACAGTAGATGCACTTCAGATTTGCCTACCCGGTTTTCCTTTTTTCTGGGTCACTTTGCGTCTTTATGGCTGAGTTTTATAAAAGACTAATAATAATCCACTTCATCTGTATAGTGCTTTACAGCTTACGGAGCACTTTTACAAAAATTATCCCATGTGATCCTCCCACATAAACCTCAGTTAGGCACTAGTGTGGGAAGCGTCATGGATGAGTGGAAAGAGCCTAGACCAGGAAGACAGATTGATAAGAGAAAAATTCTGAGATGTCCTACATTTAATAACAAAGGCCCAGAGGATGTGAGAAAAGAGAAATGATACGGGAGGTTAATAGGTAGCAAGCCACATGCCCCAAAGAACAAAACACTTTTTTTTTTTTTTAAATGTTCTTGGACGTGCATTAAAAGCGTCACTCAAATCTAATCTGACTGCGTAGGTACCGGTGTATCCTCCTTGCAAGCCAGAACCAACCCAGAGGTTTTGGCTTCCTCTCTAGTTGTTCTTCCATCACAAAACCTTCATTGCTTCAGGCAATCTCACCCTTATTATCAGAAACCAGTGTTGAATCAATGGAAATAACATGTAAGTAGCAATGTTTTGTAGAAGTAAAGCACGCTGGCTTTTTAAGTCTAGGGAGTTAGCCACCTAGCCTCGATGGCGGGTGTCGTAGAATTTGCCCCTGCACCTAGTCATTTATTTTTCTGCCTGGCCTCTGTAATGGCTCAATAAACCCCTTTATTTTAGAAAGCTCTTGCAAGGCCTTGGACATTTTGGTTTAATAAGACACAGCCTGGTACCCATTTTACAGATGAGCAAGCTGAGCCCCCACCCAGAGGCGTGAATAAATTGTTCATAGTGAAAAAACTCATTAACGAGTCGACAAATCTTTGCAGTTTTGTGAACTGTAGAAAATAGCATGTTGTATACATACATAAAGCATGCTCAGATCAGGAAGCTGAAGCTTCCTGATTTCAATCTCACATCCAGTCATATTTTGATTCCCCTAAGGAAACTAAGGCTGAGAATATCTCAGTTTTCTGTAAATTACAAGTTATAAAAACCCTCCAACTATATTAAATTGTTTCACAATTAATTCCCGTGAGGATGAAGAAATTATAGTTCAATATTCGGAGCTAAGATTCCTAGACCAAAACCAGATTCTCTTTAGTTTTATTCTATATGATTGTCAGAATTATATTTTTCTGATGATTTTTTTAAAATCAGAAAACAGGTCTCATCTTACCCTTAGTCAAATGTTTGTCATGCTACACACACACATTATACATATATTTTTAACTTTAAAGGTGCTTTGAATATCTTATATATTCCATGAAAGGAATATCAGCCTACATTAAGTTGCTTCCGCTTCTAGAGAAAAGGAATTTGTGATATAAAAAAGATTCTAACTCCAACTTACCCAGCGGAGGCTTCAGGTTGGTGAACTCGATTTTTCTTTTTTTTCTAATGTTTCTTTTCCTTTTTAAAAATATTTTATTTTCTTTTTAGATGTCTCTAAAAGAAAATCCCCCAAATGATTTTTTTCCTGACATATTTTGTGTGTGCCTCTCAACCACCAGTGCCATAGTCTTTAAACATTATTATCTATAGAATTGCCTGAGATGCTTTAAATTTACATTTAAAATTTAAATTTAGGTCCTGGAGTTCTGTTTCTAGAATCCCCAACTCAGGAAGTCTGAGGTGGCACCTGGGGATCATTTTTATAATCTCACTTTCTCCCTCAAGTGATTTCTAGTATTCACTGGGAACCTTGATACTGGAATGTAAGCTCTTTGAAGGAAAAGGTTTCCTTTGTATCTGAGAAGGTCAACAATAGCCCTTGTCCACCAGTTGTCATAATATTTGTTAAGTAAAGTCACCTATATAGGGACAAGACCTTAATCAGCCTAATCTTTCCATCTCTGACATTTGTTTTTTTCCTAAGACAATTTTTGCCACTTGATTATTTTAGAAAATGTTTAAGATTCAGTGAGTACAAGAAGGTAATGTCATCAAGTAAAGTTCTACGACATGAAACAATACTGATTTTGAACTACAAATGGGAAGCTTATTGGCCAATAGGCATTTGTGAGAAGAGAATATACCAAATGTTTTTGACATCCTCATCAGGAAAACTCTTGACTAACTTCTGTGTCTCATTTTTTTTTTTTATTTTGTAGGATTTATGAAAATTAATTTTCTTATATAATTGTTTAGTGTGAGAGATGACAAAGAAAGAAATAGGACTTTGTATACTTTTAAGAGAAAAGACTAGCATGAAGAAGCAAGATAAATGTTTGCATGTCATTAAATTGTGCTCTTAAGTTATGAAAATCCACTATATGGTCACCGTTGATATATGATTTGTTGACTATATTTTGATGGCTTGGGGATACCCAAAGATAATGTGCTTTGTGATTTTTAAATTTTTAATTAGTTGTCAATTTAGGATGGCAAAGGAATCCCTTTGGAATGTTAGAAAGGCAAGGACTGCTTTTTTTTTTTTTTTTTTTATGCAAGCAAGACTGACCAAGAGCTGAACTTGACATTGAAGTCTGGCCTAGTGTGAAGGCATTACCTAATAGTCATGGTTCTGTGTTGGAATTTTCTTGGGAAATCTTTCATCTGAAGCTAAGATTCGGATTTGTTATGGTGGAAATACCAACACTTTTCAACATATCTTGGCTGAGGTTGACAAAGAATTCCCACATAAACATTTGTAAGTTTATTTAATTAATAACTTTATTTAAGTTTATTTAATACTTACTATGCTTTTCAGAAGACAGGGAATCTTCAGACACAAAGGTTTCTTGCACTCTCATACTTCCTGTGTTCATAGAGCCTTTTTACTCATGCAACTCAAACACATGTTAGACATTATCTCATTTGTCTTCTATAACCTTCAAGGATCAAGCCTTATTACCACATTGTTCTTTGTAAGTAGTACTTTTGTAAAGAATATTTTCTTCTCTTTATAATTATTAGAGTTACTTTATGTGTATACATTTTTGCCTGCATGTATACACAGGGACCATGTGTGTGCCTGGTGCCTACCAAAATCAGAAGAAGGCATTGCATCCCCCTGAAATTGGAGTTACAGATGGTTGTGAGCTACCATGTGGATGCTAGGAAGTGAACCAAGGTCCTCGGCAAGAGCAGCAAGTGCTCTTAACGGCTGAGCCAACTCTCCAGCCTAAGTACAACTGTCTTTGTTTCTTTTGCAAAAAGTAGGTGGGTTTTATCTGACCAGTTTTCCTGATCTGTATGGACTGGAACTGGCGGGGAGTCAGGGACTGCCAATTAGCTGAAACTTATTAAGTGGATTGAAGGTGATTGTCTAGACTAATTGTATTTAATTTTGTTTGTACTAAGAACATGAGTCCCACTGAGGTAGTATTTGTTTGTTTGTTTGTTTTTAGTTGACATTTAGACACGTATCTCTTCCCTAGAGGCCTCCACAATCTAGTCTGTGGAATTCCATTTTTGTGGAATTCATGTGTCTATGATGAAACACAAATATAAGAATGAAAAGGGACACTTTTAAACAGACCTGTATCCTCAAAGCGTTTGTCTGTAATCATTTAGAACGTGAAGTAAATGGAGATTTTTACTATCTTCTTAAGCTGTCCTTTCGTCTGCTGGCTTTCTTCCTGCTCACTGTAGACTTCTCTTATGAAAGAACTCTGTGTTAGCTACATGAAGTGTAAATGAAAGGTAGTACTGTTTTTAATGACCAAAGAGAAGACATATGCAAGTCTTAATCAAAGTATATGATGTTATGGCATAATGATGATTCTGAAACTGGTGGGGTCAATGTGTAATGAACTCAGTATCCTCCTGTTTCTACCACTCAAGCACTGAGATTACTGGTATATGACACATGTCCACTTTTAAAATTAGTTTTCTAACTGGTGCTGATTATGTTACTAATATTTTGTTGTTCTTATTCAGAATCTTTTCCTCTTTGTCGATGTTACTGAGCATCACGAATGAACTTTTTTTGTTGTTGTTGTTTAGTTTTTGAGACAGGTTGAACCTTCTAGCCCAGGCTGACTTCATATACCAGATAGTCCCCTTGCCTCCACCTCTTTAGATGATATTTTAAGTCAGAGCCACCATGCCCTTCCATAAATAAATTTAATCCAAGATATTAATGATCCTATGGTATTTATTATGCCAAATAATTTCTAGGTTTTAAAAAGATTAGAATGTCTTTGTAATGAGTATTTATCAGAATATTGTACACATTTTATATAATATTCTCCCTATAACAGTGCCCCCTTGAGATCAAGAGTGCAGAGATCAGGAGTGTGAGGATCAGGAGCACAGAGATCAGGAGTTTGGAGATCGGGAGTATGGAGAGAGGTTGTATGGAGGTCTGGAGTACAGAGAGGAGGAGTACAGAGATGGTAAGTATGAAGATCTGGAGTGTGGAGATCAGAAGTATGATTGAGATTAAGGAGACAGAGAGTACTGAGATCAGATCCAGAGTATGAGAGATTGGGAGAACAGAGATTGGGAGTCCCTGTTGTTCAACTAAGACACTGATATGCTTCATTCCCAATAAGTCTGAATAAATAATAAGCGAATGCCATTTTCAAAGCAAAGTGCACAGAATGAAAAGACTGGACTAACAGTCTTTATTCAGCTAACATTGGGAGATTTAATTCCCACCCCAGGCTTCAATTTCCTCAGCTAAACTGGTTTTAGTTACTTTCTCTTGTCCACTCCTGTATTTCTAAATCTGGGTTAAGCAAACAGAGGAATGGTGGAGAACCATAGAGACAGAGCAGGCAGAGCCACAGTGAGTAGGGGCCCCTCTGAGCACAAAGCAAGAGTGTTCAAATCTTTGCTCTGTCCTGGTGCGACTTGATATGCTGGGCTGCATGGAGAGGGGTTCTCCCCTTCTCTGAGGAGTAGGGGAAGGGAGATAGTGGGGATAGGGAGGGAGGGAGAGACCGGGAGGAGAGGAGGGTGGGGGCTACGACCAATGTAAAGTGAATAAAAGAAAATCTGTTATTTAAGCATTGATCTGGGTACATCTGTTCCACTGTCAAATGCTCGCTCTTAGTTTCTTCCTCTTAGATCAAGTTTGACTCTTTCATACATCAATAGCATGTTTTAGAAATATAATACCTCGGTGAGCACAACAGGCCAATATTGTGAGAAGACCATGGTTTGTCTTTGATTTTTCAACTCAGAAGCGATGCTACTTCTAGAAGTGCTGAGGTGGTTTTACTTTTTTATTTTTATTTTTTTTTCCTACATGAAAGATTTTTTTTTCTCCAGATCACAGTTGTAACCCTTTCAGCATAGCAGGCAGATAAGAGCCAATAATTACCATCCGGTTGTTCTGAAAAGAAAAATTCTCCGTGAGTGATTAAGTGGGTGTCATCCCAGGGGGCTGCAGATGACAGCAGAAGGACTCATAGATCCAGGAGTGCACACGTGCACATGCACATAACCAAGGGGGCACACAAGCTTAGCGAAGCATCCCATTACTCAGCAGCCTCAGACGTTCCTTGGCGCTGCCCATTTGCATTACTTCTTGTTCCTTCCCTGCTTGCTGAAAAGGAATGGAAGAATTCAGCATGTTGCCTCCACAACATTAGAGACATCAGTGCTCTGAGCATGAAGGAACAAAACTTTAAGGGTTTATCTAATGGTGGCCAGAAAGGTAGGTGTTGGAGGAACCCTAGAATACATGTGGTAGGTATCATGTAATTTGTGTTAGGATGTTGGATCTCCAATCAGAGCACTTAGCACAAAGAGTGATAATGAGCTTGGCACCTGACTATCCCTTCAACCCCGGCACGTGGAAGGCTGAGAGCAGAAGGGTCCTGAGTTAGAGGCCAACCTGAACTAGATAGGGAGTCCCTATGTCTAAAAAAAAAAAAAAACAAAAAACAAAAAAAAAACAACAAAACAAAAATACCAAAAACAAACGAATAAACAAAACCCAATGACAATAATAGCAACTTCTGCTTCACATCAGAATGAGTTTTATCTACATGTTTAAGTTAAAATCAATGTTTTCCATATACATGAAAAAGTTACTATTTCACTACAATAGTAATCTGCTACTGTAAAGAAAAGCAGAATCACACAGAAAACATGTGTGTTCTCTACCCTGTGGTGACTAAGTGGTGACATTTCAAAATTCCTCAGGAGTAAAGACAATTTGCTGTTGACTTCAGATCCAGCTGCACTCTCTCCTCTGCAGAGAGCTATTCTATTTAGGAATTGGCTTCTTCTTCTTTTTTTCACAGCTAGCTGGCATCATACTAACCAGCTGAGAGAAATCAACATCATGAGGGCATGCTGAGGCTCACACCTGAAACAGAACCCAGGTACTGGGTAGGAATTGAGTTAGAAAGAGCCAGCATTTCCTGTCTTTTCAAGATGGTCCATTTAGCTCCCTAGGACCAGGTAACCCTTGTCACAGATTCTGGATTAACAGGCCATGAATGAGGAGGAGCAAGTGTTTGCTTGGTTCCTGGGCATCAAGTCAGTCCTGGCTTGTTCTTCATGACCTGCCTCTTTTAGGTTCTCTGTAACTGCCTCTGACCCTGCTTTGAGAGTTATAGATCTACCTCCATCTCTTTAGTTTTGTGGGACCGAGAAGCCAGTCTCAGTCTGTGCCACTAAATCTTCTCTACAAGCTGCTGCATCTCTGATGTCTATCATCTGTCTTTCTGGTACTTCTCCTGTTGTCAATGCCTGATTCCTAACACATCTCTCTAAGATTGGGTTTACACATGTTAATGCTGTGGGACTTTTATGCTGCCCTCCTAATAACCTTTGGCCTATTTACTTTCCCATGTCAAACAACCAGAAGAAAAGCAGACAAAATACGTGACCTCAAGACCTTAGATGCCAGGTGATGGGTGACAGGGATTCCCGAGAGATGGGAAACAAATGTGTGGTCCTATTCTGGCCACAGTGTATTGCCTTGAGACACATTTTAGATTGTGGTGCAGTAAGGTGCAACCCAGAAAGAAGATAGCAGACTCCCTGAGTTGGCAGTTGGAACTGAGAGTCTGAAGAGATCGAGGAAGTTAGAGTTCCTAGGAACTAGAGAAGAGACTCTCACCGAGAGAATGCTGCTGTAAGTATCTTATTAATTACAGCAAGAGTTATGACATCCTTGGGCCACGTTATACTCTGAGAACAAGTATCTGTAGACATGCAAAAGCAAGAAAACTGCTTAAATTTGGAAAAATACGAGCCAGCAGCAGACTGCATACCTGGCATTCATAAGACTTCAGGTTTGATTTCTAGTACCACAAAGGGAAAAAATTGGGGGGAAAAGATTATAGAAGGTGCAGTGTCAGCCCCACAAAGCTCCAGTGATGGCACTTGTCCCTTCTAGTCAGGCCAGAATGTCTCTTATTCATGGACTAGCAGAAGATGGGGGGGGCGCTTACTTCAGCAATGGGAGTGACCAGCTCCAGATGAAGTGCTGTATTGATCCTACCTAAAAGACAAGTTTCAAAGTGATCAAACTATTTTTAAAGACCTTCATTGTAGTTGGAAACAAAACTAAAATATATTTAGGTAAATAGGACAATACTCAGTCCCCGGTAAGGTAATGTTGGCACTATCTAGTATCCAAACAAATATTGCTAGGCATGCAAAAAGATGGAAAAAAAATCTGACACACTGTGAAGATTCAGCAACCAAAACCAAATAAGAACCATACAAATACTAGAGTTAGTGTCAAAAACCATTAAGCTATTCTAACTGGTTCTTATCTGTGAGTTTAGACTTAGCAAATGGTTTTGTTTCTACTTCTAAATCTATTTTTTTAGAGACAGGGTGTCTCTATTTAGTCCTAGCTACCTTGGAAATTGCTATGTATACCAAGCTGGCTTTGAACTCACAGATACTTCTGTCTCTGTCTCCTGAATGCTGGTATTATAGGCATGGGCCACCATGCTCTTCACAAATGTCTTATTTATTTATGTATTACAAATGTGTTTTCTAAAGGCACAAGTCAGTCTTCTAGACATGAATACCGCCATGTTTGTTTTTTTTTTGATGAAAAATACAGTATTCAAGCTCAATAACATTTAATATGAAAATAATGAATTTGGTGGCAGAGACTTCAAAAGAAGCACACATTTGGGAATGGGGAAAATTAAAACTAGGCAGAAACAGGTCTTGGTAGATGGTTCAGTCAGTAAAATTCTGCTATGCAAAAATGAGGACATGAATTCAGATTACCAGGTCCCACACAGAGCAGATACAGTAACCCTGCTGCTTCAGCGGTAAGACGGGAGGCAGAGACAGGAGACACCAGGCAAGACTGCAGGCCAGTAAACCTAGTCTACATAGAAATGAATAAGAGGCCTTGTCTTAATTGAGCTTCAAGGTGAAGACTGACATTTGATGTTGTTCTCTAACTACTACACATGCATGCTGTGGCACACAGGTACCTCCCCCTGGACATGGACACACACGAAGATTAAGCAGATAAAAACAATAAGTTACAAGCAAATACATTTAAATGTAAATAGATGTTCCATGTAGGAGGCAGATATTTGTAAAATAGATTTTTTAAAATAGCCCAATTATATGACTACTTTAAAAAAATATATATATATATATAATCTAAAAAAACAATGGTCTTACTATATATCTCAAGGCTTGTCTCCTGTCTCAGACTCTCAGGGGCCAGCATTACAGTATGCACCACTATGCCTTGCTAAGAACATACTTTAAATTTAAATGTATTGAAAGTGAGATGATGATGAGAAACATATGCACCATTCAGACAATTACCAAAAAGGAGATGAAATACTAAAATATCAGACAAAACATTTTAATATACTTTTATTGTTCCTTTGAGAATTTAGTATATGTTCACGATGTATTTTGAGGCTATTTAATCCTCCCCATTCACTCCTTCTAGGTTCATTCCACCTTCCTAACTTCATGTCCTCTTAAAAAAATATTACACACACACACACACACACACACACACACACACACACACACACCATTGAATCCAAGTTCTGTTGCTCATACAAGTACAGTTGGGGCAATCTGATGAAGCATGATTGAGCCACCAGGGAGGGATCAACCATATTCCTAAAGCTCCTTATCCAGGGGTGGAGGCCTGTGAGCTCAGCCCTTTTTCACTCCATGCTGGATGAATGCCAATGTCCTGATCTTGGCCCCAGAGGAAAACACCCCAACAATATATAACATTCAAGCATACAACAATCACCAACATATCAACTGAGTCTCAAATTAACATGAATTAAAAACTAACAAAACTGAAGAGAGAAATGGACGATTCAACAACAGTAGATCTCAATGTCCTACCCTAAGTAATGGATAAAGTAACCGGGCAGAAGATCAACAAGGAGACAGAAGACATGACCAATATATAAGTTACACAGGTCTACTGATAGCTATAGAACAGTTCACCCCACAGCGGTGGAATCTCATTTTCTCAAGCACACAGGCAATATTCTCCAGACTATATCAATGGTAGGTCATAAAATGAGGGTCACTAAACTGAAAAGACTTTACATCAACAAAATACACCATTAGATAAAAACCAAGAGCTGATAGTGTAGCTCAGCAGCACAAGGTATGGCAAACACAGTCACAGGAGGAGCTGGGGAGATAGCTCACCTGGTAGAGGGCTTGTCTAGCATGCCTGATAATCCCAGGCTTAGTCCCTATCACCATCAGATAAACCAAGTGTAGGAGAACACACCTATGATCCCAGTACTTGGGAGTTAGACACAGGAGGATCAGAAGTTCAAGGCTATCCTTGGCTACATGGCAAGCTTAAACCAGTTTTAGATATGAGATTGTCTTAATAAAATAAAAAATAACTAGGAAATGCATTGCACCAATACATGAAAAAAAAAAATAGCAGGCTTCTCTTTTTCGTGAGTTTCAGAAGTATTTTATTATAGGGGGGTTAAAAGAAAGATGG